AATTAAAGACTCATGCATCAATATATTCAATTAAAGTAATTTTTAAGTTTATTGATTGATTTATTATATCAATAAGCTTGTTAGAGCAGAAATTCTTAACAGAAATAACACCAAAATAATAATTTAGATATAAAAATTGTAGTATATTTTAATGTATATTATGATTAATCATAGCAGCTTACAAAATGATTGTGATTTACTTCAGTTACAATTCATCTTTTTTACACAGATTTTATTATTATTATAAAATTGATAGGTCTACTAAGCTCACATATTTAATATGTTGTTGATAAATAAGATTAACATTTTAAAATGTAAATTTCCATCTCTACACTACAATTTATAATATTGAGTATAATTGTTTTAGTTTTTAGTAAACTTAATAATGCTTTTGATAAATTTAAAGATATATTTTTAATCAGTTTGATATAATAAGTATTTTTAAATGACTTTTTTGAAGATTCAATTGATTAGAATACATTTTACTCTGACATTTTAAATGTGTCAGATCTTTATTAGAAAGTTATAATGATTTCTATCATATTTTCTGTATTAATTTTATTATTTGAGTGACATGTATCTATTGCTATATTTTGTACTTGGTTATGTTATTGGACTTATAAATTCTGCTTTATTTAGTGGTATAGTGAGAGTATGGCCAACATGATTCTGGCCATAAAGTATCAATATTTTTTATTTTATGAATTAAATCAATAAGAATTACATATAGTTAAAAAAAAATCACTTGAGACTTGATATATGTATGTATCAAGGAAATTTTCTTACTTTTTACCATATATGAATGAACTTTCTGGTTTTATAGTAGGTGCTAAATTTTGCACCTACACTATTAGCTATATTTTACATTGCTTATTTGTTCTACTTTTTGGTTTGATATAATATGGCCTTTGTAGTTTTTCGTCAAAAAGTTATATCAAGCAACTAAAGTAATGATGTACTGTATTAATTTAAAAACATTTATGAATTTGCATTGTTTGGTTGGAATTAAAGTATGTACTAGCAAATTCATTTTGAAAATGAATTTTGTTTTTAATTGGATTTTATTTTAAAATCCAACAAAATACAAAATTATTTTAATNTTCTTTTCGTATAACTTTACTAGGTTAAAAATAAACAAACAAATAAAGGTATAATTGATTTCAACATTAAACATATTTTCAAATAATAAAAATTAAGAATTTTTGTAAGAATTAAGTATGAGCTACTCAAAGTTTCATGTTTTTAGTTTATGCTATTGTTACGAAAATATCATTTTGCAACGTTACTTTGAATTAAATCTTTACTTTGATCGAATGTAATTGTATTTTAATAAACCAATCCTAGACGGCCGGACGGCCGAGCGGTCAAAGTGACAGCCTGCCGCCCTGGAGGACTTCGGATCGAATCTGGACGGGTTAACGAATTCCCAGGAATTTTTCCGAGTATGGTCTGTTTGGATACGTCGGGCCCCGTCCCTCATAACCCGGCGGCCCCATTGTGGGCCAAGCCGAACCGAACCCATAATGGGCCTGCTGTAAGAGGCCCTTCTAGTGCCCGCAGGGCGGAAAAAAATAAAAAACCAATCCAAATCTGCAGAAAAGTGATTGAAAATAAAAAACCAATCCAAATCTGTAGAAAAGTGATTTTTTGTAATTGAATAATTACAGAGAAATTTGAATCTTTATATTCAAATTTATATAAGAAATATTTGCACAAAGAATTTTAAAATTGGCTTTCTGGTGTTCAGGTCAAAATTACCTATCAAGAATAATAATATAATATCAGATATTTATATTTTGGTAAATATATATATATATATATTGAAAAAGGTCACATTTTTATATCTGAAACAAGTATTATTTAATAACAATTTACATATAAATTAGCACTTATATAAATAATTTCGTAAAATAATTAGGCTTAACACTTTATAGATAAGGTGAAACCCGAAAATGTGCTATTTTAAAAGCAAAACCATATTGACCAGATTAGAATTGTTCTTGGTCTATTCTTCTCTTATAGCATGAAGGCACTTCGATCTAAATCAGGAGTCACCAAACTACAGTTCGCGGGCCAGATCCGCCCCATAAAGTCAGTCCATCCGGCCCGCCGCAGCACTGTGCCACAAACGAGCTAAAATATAATTATTTATAAAAAATATCATAGATTGTAGATGAACTTACTATGTAGAAAAACATTAAAAAAGCGTAAGTAAAAATGCCAAAATCGGTCCAATCCGATTTTTGCATTTGACATAATATAATTTTTAGGAAAATCAGTGAAATAAAAAAATTGGACTACTTTGTCACTTTGGATATCGGAACGCTTTTCGCGTAAGTAACGGTACCCACAATGAAGTTTCTAAGAAAAGCGATTACCAGCTTGCTGCAGTCATCGTCTTTGTGTATTAACACAAAGACGATGGCTGCAGCAAGTAATAAATATGTTGGTTTTCTTTATTTTTTGTGTATTCAGTATACGATATTGAACAAAATGGTTATGCGGCCCGCGCTCGTCATTCTCTCAATTATCTGGCCCGCTGTGAAAAAAGTTTGGTGACCCCAGTATATACCCGGCGGAACAAAAGTACAGTTACGAACTAACGGAATTCGAACTATCAGAGTTCTAATTAATTAACAAGAATTTCCTGTATATATCAATAGTTGCATTTTTAAATATTTTGGAAAATGATGTATTTTAAACTTTTCCATTAGATTTAAAATTTAAATTTTAAAAATGATAGCCTCATCATATCACTTTTATGACAATTTTTTTTTTTTAATGTTTCCATAGTGACCACGTAATGTTTTATTATCCAATCGGAAGTAACGATGTAACGAGTCCGTTATTTAGAAAATACAATTTACCTTTGTTTTATCAATATGGAATTAAGAAATGGCTTTCTCAAAGGCTGCAGGATCAACATCACAACGTCAATCATCAGAACAATATTAACGTATCTATTACTAAAGGAAATCTTTTAAAAGACAATAGTGTTTACTCAGAATGTAGTATATAAAGAAATTTAATAAAGANTTTATTTTAAAATCCAACAAAATACAAAATTATTTTAATTATTTATATATAAAGATATTAATTAAAAGTACAGTAATACCCCGAACTTACGCGATAGGTGGGACCGAGCGATAACTGCGTAAGTCGAATTCGCGTAAGTTGCGGTATAATTTCGCAATTTGTGTAAAATCCAAGTCGGATTTATGTAAGCTAATAAATGTTCTTGTTAATCTTATCTTGTCTTTTGATTCATTCACGGTTACAAGAAATCACCACATAGAGTCTCTCAAGTCTCCTTAGATATAACAAACACAGAAATTAATAACACAAAATAAATTGTAGCTATGCGTCAATTCTGCTCGACACGTCCGAGCATGTAAGCTGAACAATAGTGTGGGGGGAGTGAGTAATCAATAGTTGCGTGGTGCTTAAACAAAAGACGAATTGACGAGATTTGAAAATCGTGTAACTCCGGGTTCGCGTAAGTCAAGGTATTACTGTAATAAGGTTTATTGAATTATATTAGAAAAAACAGATTGAGTTAGAGGTGCTTCTTACCTTACTAAAAGTTAACTGTTGAAATCCAGGTAAATTATTTTTTTGCATCTGTTTTATCAATCTGTTTTTTAGTAAATGACAAAAATTTTCTGAAATTTGTCAAGGCTATAGGGCTATAATTTTGGAGATCACATTTGCCTTTCTTATATGTCATACTACAATATATATTAGAGTTCCAATTGTTTGGAATTCTGAAGTATAAAAGAAATTATTATACTATTCTAGCAAAAGTACTATACTATTTTAGATGCAATTTTTTGTTTTCAACTATGTTTAGTCTTCATTGAGTACTTACAGTAGGTGTATTAAATTGATAACATTTCAGACATTGTTATAAATATAAAGGCCATCATCTGTTTATGTGTGTTTAAGTGAATTCTCTATAACTCCTATTGTTTTTGTTCAATCCAGATGAAATTTTGTTTTGTTGCTCTTTATGTTACAACAGAACGTACAAACTATTTAATATACTTTGTTATCCAGAATGATGCATATCGTGCACAATTTGTACACCCTAATAGTGCAGTTTCTATATATTAGTCTCTTGCACTTACTGGCATGTTTTCTTTGTCTATCCTTGATGGGAAATGCAACACTTCTTCCATTTACACAATTATTAGCTCCTTATTACCTCTTAGAAAAATTTTAACTTCAACAATGTAATACATAAGTTGACAAAGGTCAGAATGTAATTTTTCATTGTAAAAATGTTTTCAAGTTGAAACCAAAATTCTGATAAACAAACTATAACTGTAATAAAAATATATAGGAGTACTTTATATTCTGCAAAAAAAGAAAAAACTACTCCGAATAAAAGTTAACAACGTGCTGAGTATGGTACGGATCAAATTGACCTGATAAGGACATGATAAATAAATAATCATATGGCTGAGAGTAGAGCCCTTCAAGACTAGTCTCGTAGTTAGATTATAAAAATATTAGTACTGTATATTGAGGGTTAAGTATTAGACTTATTGGTTTAAACTTGTATTTTGCCTTCTTTATAATAATTATACAAAGTCTAGAAAATAACTAAATTCAAGATGAAACAATCTAGATTTAGATGAGATAAACAGATTCTAAAGTGACAATCCTTTCTAACACGTGGTAGAGACTTCAATGTTTTGACTTAAAACAAAATGGCGGTCGATAGTACCCGTCGTTGCCACCCAGAGCGCTCTATCTAAGGTCACAGCCACTTTACGTAGTATATTATAGCTCGTTGTTTCCAAAAAAATACCGCATAAGTTTCATTAAACATACATTAAAACGAAATGAGTGGAAAAAGAGAAAGTCCTAATACGTTTTTAAAATAAAAATATCACTCATAATTTGTAATAATTAATTTAAAATGTTTATAAATGTTATTTTTTATAATGTTAAAATAAACATACATTTCTTAGTTTCAGACGGCGCTGAGAACAACCATTACGTCAAACAGTTGACGTTTGACACAATTTTGTGACGAAATTGCCATATCATGGTTGCGTCACAGATCGTGAAATCCTTCAAACATCAACATGGCGCATTGGTTCCACAGGAACCCTTTAAAGGCAACATCGCAAATCAATTTCGATTTGAAAATGATTGTCAGTGACAGTCAGGCAATAAAACTTTGCAGGTTTGTTACCTGACATTTTCAGAATTTATTATAATTTAAATAATTATGCTTTATTATATTATTAAATTAAAGACTCATGCATCAATATATTCAATTAAAGTAATTTTTAAGTTTATTGATTGATTTATTATATCAATAAGCTTGTTAGAGCAGAAATTCTTAACAGAAATAACACCAAAATAATAATTTAGATATAAAAATTGTAGTATATTTTAATGTATATTATGATGAATCATAGCAGCTTACAAAATTAAACATATTTTCAAATAATAAAAATTAAGAATTTTTGTAAGAATTAAGTATGAGCTACTCAAAGTTTCATGTTTTTAGTTTATGCTATTGTTACGAAAATATCATTTTGCAACGTTACTTTGAATTAAATCTTTACTTTGATCGAATGTAATTGTATTTTAATAAACCAATCCTAGACGGCCGGACGGCCGAGCGGTCAAAGTGACAGCCTGCCGCCCTGGAGGACTTCGGATCGAATCTGGACGGGTTAACGAATTCCCAGGAATTTTTCCGAGTATGGTCTGTTTGGATACGTCGGGCCCCGTCCCTCATAACCCGGCGGCCCCATTGTGGGCCAAGCCGAACCGAACCCATAATGGGCCTGCTGTAAGAGGCCCTTCTAGTGCCCGCAGGGCGGAAAAAAATAAAAAACCAATCCAAATCTGCAGAAAAGTGATTGAAAATAAAAAACCAATCCAAATCTGTAGAAAAGTGATTTTTTGTAATTGAATAATTACAGAGAAATTTGAATCTTTATATTCAAATTTATATAAGAAATATTTGCACAAAGAATTTTAAAATTGGCTTTCTGGTGTTCAGGTCAAAATTACCTATCAAGAATAATAATATAATATCAGATATTTATATTTTGGTAAATATATATATATATATATTGAAANATCAATAAGAATTACATATAGTTAAAAAAAAATCACTTGAGACTTGATATATGTATGTATCAAGGAAATTTTCTTACTTTTTACCATATATGAATGAACTTTCTGGTTTTATAGTAGGTGCTAAATTTTGCACCTACACTATTAGCTATATTTTACATTGCTTATTTGTTCTACTTTTTGGTTTGATATAATATGGCCTTTGTAGTTTTTCGTCAAAAAGTTATATCAAGCAACTAAAGTAATGATGTACTGTATTAATTTAAAAACATTTATGAATTTGCATTGTTTGGTTGGAATTAAAGTATGTACTAGCAAATTCATTTTGAAAATGAATTTTGTTTTTAATTGGATTTTATTTTAAAATCCAACAAAATACAAAATTATTTTAATTATTTATATATAAAGATATTAATTAAAAGTACAGTAATACCCCGAACTTACGCGATAGGTGGGACCGAGCGATAACTGCGTAAGTCGAATTCGCGTAAGTTGCGGTATAATTTCGCAATTTGTGTAAAATCCAAGTCGGATTTATGTAAGCTAATAAATGTTCTTGTTAATCTTATCTTGTCTTTTGATTCATTCACGGTTACAAGAAATCACCACATAGAGTCTCTCAAGTCTCCTTAGATATAACAAACACAGAAATTAATAACACAAAATAAATTGTAGCTATGCGTCAATTCCGCTCGACACGTCCGAGCATGTAAGCTGAACAATAGTGTGGGGGGAGTGAGTAATCAATAGTTGCGTGGTGCTTAAACAAAAGACGAATTGACGAGATTTGAAAATCGTGTAACTCCGGGTTCGCGTAAGTCAAGGTATTACTGTAATAAGGTTTATTGAATTATATTAGAAAAAACAGATTGAGTTAGAGGTGCTTCTTACCTTACTAAAAGTTAACTGTTGAAATCCAGGTAAATTATTTTTTTGCATCTGTTTTATCAATCTGTTTTTTAGTAAATGACAAAAATTTTCTGAAATTTGTCAAGGCTATAGGGCTATAATTTTGGAGATCACATTTGCCTTTCTTATATGTCATACTACAATATATATTAGAGTTCCAATTGTTTGGAATTCTGAAGTATAAAAGAAATTATTATACTATTCTAGCAAAAGTACTATACTATTTTAGATGCAATTTTTTGTTTTCAACTATGTTTAGTCTTCATTGAGTACTTACAGTAGGTGTATTAAATTGATAACATTTCAGACATTGTTATAAATATTTTTATATATTTCAATTTTTACCAAATTTTAAACCGTTTTAAATTTGAATTTGTTATTGCATATTGGTTCAATTATTGAACAATTGTAAATGTTCCAGAAAATTGATCAAATTGAAAATAGTTCGTTTGATTCTCAGCAATTCTCATCACTCTCAGCAGGAGGTGTTATATAATAATTACTATGGTTGTTGAAATTCTGAATATAAATGGTGTTTGTTTACAAAATCTGTGCAGGTGAAGTCATGGGTAACAGCTAGTTCTAAAATATTCAAGAAATGATTGTCAAATTCACTATAAGAAGCAATTTTCAAAATGCTTATTTTCAAAATGGAATTATATAGAAAATGATTAAGTCACAACAATATTTTTATAATTAATAAAGTTTTCAAAATTAATTAAAACAAAAGCACTTGATGTGTCAAAATTAGTGATGTAACGAATATTTGGTTACTATTCGGTATTCGGCCTGTTTGGCCTATTTTTCACTATTCGGCCGAATACTGAATATTTAATCATTATTCAGCCGAATACCGAATACCTAAAAACAGGAGTAATAAATAACAAAAACACAGTAAATTAATCATTTTGGTATTTAGATTTAATGTTATCGAGTTAGTGTTGTTTGTTTATATTTATTTATAACTTGTAACATGCACAAAATAAAAAAAGAAAATAATATTAGTCACATGTATTCACAATTTATAATTACAAAGATCAGGACACGTACACGTCTATCGTTGGAGAATCCTCATACATCTGAGGGTTTGACCCTGCCTAAGCTTTTTAAGCGCTCGTCTTTGCTCTTCCCTTTCTCTTTCCTCTATCGCTCTAATCCACGTATGCCTGTGCATACATCACAATACGCGCTCGCGATACTTTCGATTCGTCACTTTTCCGTTGTAGAGTTCCTATTTTACAATTACGTGACTCAGCCTGGTTATAACGGAGAAAAGAGACAAATAGGATGTCGATATAAGTCACAGTTATGATTTCACAGATTCGAGACAGCTTGATAGCCCGAACGGCCCCAGGGTTTCGCCCATGCATGCTAAGTGACTTTCATTACAAGCATTTAGCTTTCCGAAGTCTATGACAATAATTGTTTGGCATTGAGGGCCGCGAATTTCGTGCCAATAAGCTGCCTCGACTTGTTCGATTATGTTATCAACTCAATTTCATATTTATTTTCACATTTTCACTTCGCGGTCCTTCTCTGTTCTTCTTTCGTTATTTACACATGTAGGTCATTTCATTGTTATCCACATTTGATATAATCATTTATCACATACTTCCATGATGCTCTCGCCTGTCCGCTACAACTGCCAAGAATTAACGCGATTGGCGAAGCGTAGTGACAGTGGGCCAATAGAGAGCGGGATCCTTGCCATAATGCGGTTTGTGCGCCAATTTTCGTATGTGCGTTAATCGAGCCGAATAGTTTGGCCGAATATTCGGCTATTCGGCCACGCTTTTGGCCGAATATTCGGTATTCGGCCTGAGGCCGAATATACTATTCGTTACAACACTAGTCAAAATACAATAACACCAGCTTACCCAAGGAAGAGTATATCAAAAGAAGCAGTCTGCTCTTAGGTCTGTCAACTTTACCAGAATTTGCATCAGCTTTTATTACATGAAACATTTTGTTTCATAAGCAGAATGTTTTCAGTTTTATGGATGTCTTCCATGTCTCCACTAAACCAATGATATTGTATCTATCCAAAATAGATCTGCAGGACAAAATACCAAAATTTTCCTGTATATTGGCTGAAAGAAAAGACAGTAAATTATATTTAGTAATTTCTGTAGTGAGATTATCAAATTTTGGATACTGATTATTTATTATAAAAAAGATTCACTTTGAAAATTTATGCTTAGATAAAGAGAAAATAATTTATCTTACCATTTAATTTTTTTGTGTTGGACCAAAGAAATTAACATACATCTTCTAACTGTTGATCTACAGCATAAATTGGCAAACATCAAAATAAGAGAGATTTTTGCTTAAATTGTTAACATGTGCTTTCAAAATTCTTTAAGAATAGAATTTCCTAAGTTTCTAAACTTTAATTTGACTTCTGTGACCTCTTTTGGTAAAGTAGAATCAAGAGTTGTTATGAGATGTTTAATAAGAATATATAAATCCCTTTGAAAGAATTGGGATCAGCAGCAGCTCTAAATATAGGTGAAAAAAGATGATGTGTAGAGCCTTTTAAATTTTGTAGTATATTTTAGTATTTAAGTCATCAAGCTGGTAATTGTTGAAAATATAGTTCTACTGGTATCTGTTGCATCTGCATATCAATTATTTTCAAATTTAGAACTGATCAAGAACTACCTCTGATAAACAATACATTAAGAGAGATTTTTGATCTTATCCATTGAAATATTACTGTAGAACCAGACTTATTTTTTGTAATTGATTAATTCTATACTATTTCTGCTCAAAATATTTTAAACAATTTGTAGATTTTAGTTTTCCTAGAGATGCCATATCTTAGGAAGTTTTACCTTCTTTATTTCCTATTTTCTTGGTATTAGAAACATTGGACATTAAAGAGCCCCAAAACATTCTTTTCATAAGCTGCCTCAGGGATATTTTGGTGAGATCTTCAGAGCCCGAGTTTGATTCAATTCCAGAATGAAGAAATAAATTATTTATTAGTTTCAGGTTAATATCTAAACCTAAGAAATAACTTACCACTACAATTTATAGAAAACAAAATTTTGTTACCATGTTTGTAATATGGAGTTGATCATGTATGATTCAGAAAAAGTATACTAACAGCAATGGAAATTAATTTCAACCACATAAAAAATAAATCATTACAATTTTTATGCTGTATATTGTATATATTCTGAGTTATTGTCTAACTATCAGATGAACCTGGCATTGCTCAGGCATAAAGTAATGATAGTGAAGATTAAAATTATTAGTTTATAGTCGATTTTACCCGTTTTCACTGTGTGCAACAATTAGGTTTCCCTCTTCTGAAACCAATTAGAGAATTTTTAGATGGTCTAAAAATATGTTTGATTTCCCAGAAAAACACAGAAAATTGCATCTAAAATAGTACAGTAGAAGCCATTCCTCAGGTTAAGTCTTAATCCTCTCCCTCTCCCCCACAGAGGGAATTTCCAAAAATCCCTTCTTAGTGTGAATTCTCATTTCTTACCGTACTAAAATGTAATTAAAAACAAAAAATTGCATCTAAAATAGTACATTTTTTAAATTTTAGATAGTCTAATAAATAGGATTTTAACATTCTTGAATCAAGGTTGCTTGTTGTTCTCTATTATATGTGTTTGGTTAGCACAATGTTGCTGTTGAGAACGTATCATACAGGAACACTTTAAGAGGAAAAAGGTTGCTTTATTGACTTGGACGGATATGCATTATATCCGTCCAAGTCAATAAAGCAACCTTTTTCCTCTTAAAGTGTTCCTGTATGATACGTTCTCAACAGCAACATTGTGCTAACCAAACACAAACACAGGATTTTAACAATTTGGAGGGCTTATCACACCAAGGCCGACCGAAAAATAGACCAGATTTTTTACAAAAAAATCTAGTCTTTAATAATAACCTTCAAATTTAGGAAAGTATGCATTTTGGGTACAAGGGTCGTCAGCTTACAAATACAAAGTACCAACTTAGCACACATTTTGTAAGTATGATTTTGTTCAAAATACTGGTATTTGGATTAGAAGATTTGTGCAAGATGATTCTGAATCCAATACAATCTGCCAACCAATACACTTCTGGCATTGGGATCTGATATGTTATCCTCTATGCTGCCACCATGTATTATAAATGACTCAACTGATTGATAATACAAATAATGTAGATTATCATATTTTAACCTTAACTTATAATTATTTAACTGTAATGAAAAAATATATAATCTGTATTGAAACATAAAAGGAATTTTAATAAAGACTATGTAGTAAAAATTAAAACCACTAAAAAACTTAAAATGTAGCAATTTTATAATAAGTGTTAATGTTTTTGCCTGTTTAACACAGGCAATGTTAGAACTTATTATAAAATTGCTATATATTAAGTTTTTTTAGTAGTATTAATTCAAGTACACCCAGTTTTGAATGGTAGTACACTATGTAATATATATATATATATATATATATATTAGTGGCATGATTGCACCATGTGCCTGCTAGTTTAAATAAAATAAAATATTCAATTTTTCTTAGTGAACTTCGGCTTGCAAGAAATCGGCTTTTGGATTTATTATGTGATCCAAATAATAGTGTGGAAAATGTTGAAAATTGTCTGAACAACTATCTTTCTCTGCTTCAAGGCTTATTCATTGCTATAGATGAGAAAGGTGGAGAAAGTAAACTTCGTTATGCCATACGATTTCGATGGTCAAATACAATGCTTGGCAATGCTGCAAAGTAAGTTTAAGAAAATTATTTTAGTTTGTAAATCAGTTTTTTTATATTTAGGTTTTTCTATTTTTTTATATAAATTATTATATAACTTATAAAATATAATGATGAGCATTATCTTATTCTATAAGTTTCATTTTTTATTTATTTATATATTTGTATTATATATGCAAGATCAACTTCATAAATTAAATAATGAATTAAGATAATCATTAGTATAATATCTCTACTCATTTATCAGAGATAACATTAATTTTTAAAAATTTAAATTGCATTTTTAACACAATTACAGTCGACCCCCCATAACACTGTTGATTTTTCCATTTTATATGAATTTCATATTGTATGAGTCACTTAAATTTTACAAATACGTGTGCCAGGCTGTGAACGGCTCACGTATTTGTAAAATCTAAGTGACTCGTACAACATGGAATTCATATAAAATGGAAAAATCAATAGTGTTATAGGGAGGTCGACTGTATTTTAAATTATGATGCAAAGTTATGCTTATACAGACGCAAAGTTATGCTTATGCAGATGATGCACTACTGTTATTGGAGGGTAGGTCAAGGGCAGACCTCGAGACTAGAGGCAATATCATGCTGCAAAATATATTTGATTGGGGCACTATCCATAAGTTATGTTTTAATGTATTCAAAAAACAAAAGGTATTGTTTTTAATAAATCTGGACAGCCTAACCTTTATAAAAGACCTCCACACATCAAAATGAATGGCAACTCCATCAAGGTTGATCAAACTTTAAAATACTTGGGCGTAATGCTTGATTTCAGACTATCCTGGGATTGTCACATTGATTATATCACCAGCCGCACAGGACTTATTTTTCAATCTTTTGCACAGGTTGCTCGGAGAGAGTGGGGCTCTCAGCACCTGCATTATTTATTATTTATGATGCAATATTTATCCCTATAATCACATATGCTTGCGGGTCTTGGGACTGGGCATCACAAAAGGTGCATCCCAGACGAAAATTGGTGTCATCCCAAAGACGTGCACTTCTACTTATTGCTAAGGCTTATCGCACTGTCAGCAGTCAAAGTCTGCAAGTAATAGCAAAAAAGCCCCCAATTGATCTAACCATTATGCAAAAAGCAAGACTACAGCAGCTAAGATGGGGCAGGTCCATACGGTGCGGTTCACATACTATAACTCATGATGATATTGAGTGGGATTTTCCCTATGGTAATACAATGTTCCCTGGCACTTCTGTAAACTGCACTTTCACCAATATACAATCTGCAGATTTTGAAATTTATACCGATGGATTGAAAATTAATAACGCAGTTGGCTGCAGCTTTGTAGTTTTTGCTAACAATTTAGAGATTTACATTCAAAATTTATGCCTGAGCAATCGTTGTACTGTATTTCAAGCAGAACTATTTGCAATTTGCTGTGCCATTAAATGGGCAAATATCAATCTTCCAGGAACAACCATTCATTTGTATAGAGATTCACTTTCTGCCTACACTCTCTTAAAAAGCCTGAAATTACATCCAATTGCTGAAAATATTCGAAACCTTTTACGGACAACAGACTGTATTTTTGCAATAACATGGGTTAGAGCCCATCAAGGTGTGCAAGGAAATGAAAGGGCGGATTGCTTAACCAAACAGGCTGCAGAGAACACTGCTGCACCTTTTGAATATGATAAAATCAGTAAACAGACACTACAACGGCTGCTGTGGGAAGACACTCTTTCTAGGTGGCAGACAAATTGGGATCTTAACAGTGAACATATTACTTATCAGTTTATTCCTAATATTGCACATTTTTTTACACTTAAATGGTATATACCTAACCATAGTACCTGTGTGGTTGTAGCTTTCCGCCTCATACGTATTCGTATATTTTTTTTTTTTTTGGCTATTTTTCAGCCGTGTGAAATAAGGGGGTTGGCAACCTGGGAGAAGGGGGAAAGGTATTTAAGACGGACATTTACCGGTTAGGGGACACTCTCGTGCCGAGTGATATAGAGGAGTTGGTGAATGCAAAAGTGCTCCTTCCATTGTGGATTGGTTTTTCTTTGTTTGTTCCCGAAGCGGATTGGATTACAAGGAGTGAAACATCTAGGACTATGATATTGTAACGGTGAGAACATTTTACGTGTGTACCATTGTATCCAGTGGACCTTAGTGTAGTTGTACGAATATATATATATATAAACAAAAAAAAAAAAAAAAAAAAAAAAAAAAAACTTNTGACCTTTGCACTTGCGTCGCTTCATGAAGCACCTAAGCCACCTAACCTCACTGAGCAAATTGACTTGACTCACCTCCCTCCGGATCAGGTTGTAGGGGTACAGAAGCTCATCCAAGACTTTTCTGACATCTTCAATGAGGCGGTCGAAGGGCTTACCGGTACCACTAAATATATCCATGACTTTGAATTGTGCACTAGCACCCCAATATACACTCGACAATACCGTATCCCTCATACCTTCCTATCGAAATTAAAAGACAAAATCCAACAGTATCTAGAGGCTGGTATCATTGAACCGTCACTATCCGAGTGGAACTCCCCGATACACATTATCCCAAAGAGTAGCGGAGAAATTCGACTTACCCTGGACTTGCGGAAGGTCAATGAGGTCACCAAGGGACAAGATTTTCCCTTGATGAGAATTGATGATATTTTAGCCCAGCTGAAAGGGGGGAAGGTGTTCTCCGTCCTGGACTTAAATTCCGGTTATTTTCAGATACCTGTGGCCCCCCACCTACGGGAGGTGTTTGCCTTTACAACCCCTTGGGGTAAGTATCAATTATGCCGCATGCCCCAAGGGGGGAAGAACTCAGGACGTTACTTCCAGCGGGTAATGAATTCTATACTCTCCAAACATGTGGGAGTAAATTGTTTTGTATTCCAAGATGATGTTGTTTTATTTTCTGAAACTATGCACGAACATGTGGAATTGCTAAGAGACGTACTCGGCCGTATTAGGGAAGCTGAATTAGTTTTGCGGCCCTCAAAGTGCAAGTTTGCCGTGAACTCTGTCCGGTATCTGGGTCACGTGATTAACGAGAATGGGGTGACGCCAGATCCGGATAATATAAGTGCCTTTTTAAAGATACCGCAACCTAAGACGGTGAAAGAAGTAAGATCCTTCTTGGGAGCCCTAAGCTTCTACCGCCCCTTTATACGAAACTTTGCACACATCGCCCTGCCGCTCACCGAATTAACCAAAAAGGGGCGTCATTTCCAATGGTCAAAGGAATGTGAATATAGTTTCTGTAAGTTAAAAAACACTATCACTACTCCTCCAACACTGAAACACCCAGACTTTTCATCTGTGTTTCACCTGCACACCGATGCATCTGAATTCGCCGTGGGGGCCGCGTTACATCAAGCGTGCGGAAACCAACTCGCACCCGTCGGGTTTTTTAGCAAGAAACTTCACGGTGCCGAACTCAACTATTCAATCGTGGAGAAGGAGTGCCTTGCTTTACTTTTAGCCCTCCGTCATTTCCGGTTTCTGATATTAGGTAGACCAATAATCGTGCATTCGGATCATAAGCCACTTGTGTTCCTAAAGGACATGAACAATCATAATCGTCGACTCATGCGATGGGCTATTGAGTTGGCGGAATATGACATTAAGATGGTGCACATAAAGGGGAGTGATAACAAAGTGGCTGACTTACTCTCGCGCGCTCACAACAACTGCCATGATCAGCCTGAGGATGTGGGGGTGAATGTTAATGCAGTATCACCACTACCGGAAGATAATGAGAAAGGTCTAAGTGATTTGGTAACTGCATCTCAACAAACTGACAATCATATTCGTTCGATAAAAAACGCACTATCAAGTAGAGGGGCGACTGGAGTCCCCATTCACCTACGTGACTTTAAAGTAAGAAACGGAGTGTTGGTCAAGAGACATGTGAATCGACGGGGGGAGCATGTCAATTGCATTTATGTGGGTGACACTGCCCAGATCCCTGTTATACAACACTACCATGAAATAGGGGGGCATATGGGGGTCGAAAAAACACTAAGAAAACTTAGAGACACCTACTTCTTCCCCGATATGAGAACTAAAGTCAAGAGCTATATAACGTCATGTGGGACGTGCCAGCGCTTCAACCGAGTCACTCATAAGGCACCTGTCCAAGAAGTGACCCACCCTGATAACCCAATGCAGGTGGTTGCGGTCGATGTGGTTGGCCCGGTACCCGAATCCCGAAGAGGGAATCGGTATATTGTTGTGTTTATTGACATGTTCACTAGATTCGTTGAAGCAATACCGGTACCCGAGATATCATCCAAAACAATAGCTGATCTGTTATTTGAGAACATTGTGTGCCGGTACGGTGGGGGGCAGACCCTCATCTCTGACCGAGGGTCAAATTTGACCTCAAAACTAATGACCGACGCATGCAGGTTACTTGGCATCGAACGTAAGACCACCACTGCGTATAGACCAACATCTAACGGGACTTGCGAAAGGGCCAACAAGACAATCATCGAGATGATTGCAAAAATCTCTAATGGTGATAATGCCAACTGGGACGAGTACATCCCCCCTGCTTTATTGGCGTACCGTAATACCATCCATGGGTCGACGGGGGAAACCCCAGCCTTCCTAATGTATGGTTTCGATCCTGTGCTCCCAGGTGAATTGAGAGTTGACGATCCAGAAGCAGGAAGTGGGGGGGTCATAGAATATCGTGAGAGGCTAATGAGCAAACTTAGGGTCTGTCGCAGGGCGGCTGACAAATTTAGTAAGATGCAGCTAAGTGTCAAACGGGGGTACTGGAACAAGAGACGGAAGTTGAGAAAATTTAAAGTGGGGGACCTGGTGTTGGTGAGAAGACCATCAAAAGTTCATCATAAAAAGTTTTCCCCATGGTACTTGGGTCCTTTCCGTGTGGAACGCATACTCAGCGACGTGGTAGTCCAAGTCAAAGGAAAAAAATTGAGGAACGAACAGACCATCCATATCGACCGCTTAAAACCGTTCATCTGATCCAGAAACAACTATACGCCA